ATATTAATGTGTTTTTCATAATTTATTGATTTAATTTACTGCATTGACTGTGGGTCTCATTAACATTGAAACTTAATGTTAATTTAATAGTTCCAATAAAATCACATCATTAAGTTATTGAATTAAATCAAATTTTTAGATCCAAAAAGCATTACTCTAAATGGATATGTTTTAAATATTTTGATGTTGTTCTCAATCATTAATACATATAAATTCATAAATTGTAGTATTAAAATAAGAAACATATTTTTAAAATTCCTTTGATAATTTGTTATAAGTAAGAAATAGGTAGTGCATTAATTCAAAAATAGTAATGTTATTTGAACCTAAAAAATTGATTTAATTTACTGACCTAATGATATGGTTTCATTGGATCATTGGATTAACATCAAGTTTCAATTTTTGGGTCAGAAAATTAGATAAATAAATTAGATCTCAATAGTATTGTTCATCTATTTATTGTTTGAAAAATGAATAAATCAAACAGCCTTGGGCCTGGTGTTTCCCATGGGTTGGACCTAGGCCATAAATTATACAAAGTACCCATCCTAATAGTAGTTTTACATTAAAAATGATTTTTTTATTTATCCAATGCATTTTTGGATAATTTCTAATTATAAAGTTAAAAATAGGTATTAATATTGGAAAATATTAATAACAAGATTGAAGAAATGGGCCTAGGGTTTGAGTCTTGACCAATATGGAACCAAAAAACCGAGGCAATATAAAAAAAATCAATAAAAACCGATTTGGTGCCAATTCAAAATGGTCTAGTCTCTAAAGTTGGAACAATACAACTGAGATGACTAATTATTTGTTGGGGTAAATTATATCCACGTCCCCTAAAATTTAGTCAAATAATAATTAGACCCTTCTTCTTTGAAAAATAACACTATCCTCTCCTCTGCTTTAGTTGTTTGTAACAGATTCCCCCAATGTTAGGGAAATGTTAAGAATTTAATTATGCAAGCAATTTATTATTTTTAAAATATCAATATTACCCTTGGATATATTATAGAAAAACTTAATCTCACTAAATCCCTTAAAATGGAAACACCACATCTGTTCCCAAATAGTATCACAAAAACCCCACCACACCTGTTCCAAACACACATGGTCCCAAACACACACACACACACACACTCTCTCTCTCTCTCTCTCCACAAAACCACACAGCTAGACATAGTCGAACTATCCCCACACCACCCCCACACTCTGCCAAAAAAACCCCACCAACCCACACCATTGTTGGAGCCCCTAAAACTCACTGCCATCGAAACTCCAGCCCAATGCATAAAACCACAATTCACCCCTCCACATAACAAACCCCCTTGGAACCCATCTCGTAAAACCTAGGTTGTGAGACCCGTACATACATTACATGACATTTTATTAAATGATGAGGGTTAATACGGAATTTATGATAATTTGTGATATTAATTTTGGGGTTAAATTATAACTTGTGAGAAGGGAGAATTTTGAATTATATCTCTAGGGGTTGAATTTTGGGATTTAATTGGTATTTGGGTGAAAAATCATATGAAAGAGAAATGTTTGAGTGTGGGTTTATAAATATTTTTAAGTTAAGATTGGTTTGAGTGTTAGGGGACGATGTGTATGGCGACCCAAGTATATTTTGGGAGAAAGGTGAGTCACAGTGACTGGTGTCTCTTATATTTTACTCCTTATATATATGTATGTATGATATATATATATAGTAGAAATAACCCGTACCTGAAGGCACAGTGCAATTCAAAAAACATCAAGCACTAAATTTGGACACAAAATAATCAACCACTAAACTCGGACGTGTACTAAGCTGAAAGCCAAAACTGTTTTCATAATCCGTGCCTGAAATTATGTAATTCAAAAAAAAAAAAAAACAGACATTGTTCTTAAAAATGAAATAATCAAACACTTAACAAAGACACGTTAGAAATAAACAAACACTGAATATTAATATGCGTAAAGGGCCTCAAGAGAATAGCTAAAATTAGAACTCATTGTCTTTTAATAAAAAATATTATGCTAGCCTTATACCACCACGAAAGGGTATCAAAATCCGAGTCTCTAGTCCATTTCGTTCAAGCTGGAAGCTATTAAAAAATCCAACTCACCCATTCCAATATAAATTCCTCCATTCCATCCATGCTAGTAGTGGAAATGATAGACCCTCAGCAAAAACCATACTATGGTAGCATCCTGCAAAAGATGATTAAAGTACTTATGATGCATATGATATAGTTACCATCAAACCAACCTTAACATTTTTCACTTTGACCCAAATAACAAAATAAAAGTCATCATCATGTAAATAAGCAAATTCAATTTTTCATTGCTTTCAAGAAGCCACTGAGCTAGTGTAGTCCTCAAACATCATCATATAATCACCAAAAGAACAAAAATTTAGTTGTAGTTTATATTGCCACACTCGACATATAAAACCTACTTTATATTCAAAAATCATACTCAGAGAACTTTAATCCCAAAAAACAAATGTACACATAGAATTCACCCATTGCAAGGAACACACAATGTCGAATGTTACTGCACTTTAACCGAAAAAATGATAAAGAATAACAAAAGAAAAAAAATAAGAAATCCATCTTGACGTTGGACAGGAGAAATAGAAAAATATCATGTGATGTTGGCGGCAATGTGTCCGTAGCTCTTTCTGATACAAATTCAGTCCATAAACTAACAAAGAAATCAAAATCCAGCAAAACCAAACATACAAAGAAATCAGATGAAAAACTCCTAAATGCAATATAAGTAGTAAACACTTCCACTATAATTAAGTACACCACATCAAAATATACCAATACGAATAGAGAGATATCGACCTCTAGCAACAAAGCAAACAATGTTATTACCCTTTAGTGTTTTTTTTTTCCCAATGAAGATTGGCAAATTGCCATGAAAGTATCATTTTTTCAGCATAGGCTACACTGTATTAGAAGACTTGTACTATGAAGTTAGAATGGTTTTGAGTGACTATCTAAAAATAATAATTCCAGTTTCTTTTGTAATAAACAAAGCAATTCCAATGAAGGCATCCATGATCCTAAAAAACAACAACAAAGACTTCCACTTTGAAGCGACCCAAGTTATAGTNCAAATTCAATTTTTCATTACGTTCAAGAAGCCACTGAGCTAGTGTAGTCCTCAAACATCATCATATAATCACCAAAAGAACAAAAATTTAGTTGTAGTTTATATTGCCACACTCGACATATAAAACCTACTTTATATTCAAAAATCATACTTAGAGGACTTTAATCCCAAAAAACAAATGTACACATAGAATTCACCCATTGCAAGGAACACACAATGTCGAATGTTACTGCACTTTAACCGAAAAAATGATAAAGAATAACAAAAGAAAAAAAATAAGAAATCCATCTTGACGTTGGACAGGAGAAATAGAAAAATATCATGTGATGTTGGCGGCAATGTGTCCGTAGCTCTTTCTGATACAAATTCAGTCCATAAACTAACAAAGAAATCAAAATCCAGCAAAACCAAACATACAAAGAAATCAGATGAAAAACTCCTAAATGCAATATAAGTAGTAAACACTTCCACTATAATTAAGTACACCACATCAAAATATACCAATACGAATAGAGAGATATCGACCTCTAGCAACAAAGCAAACAATGTTATTACCCTTTAGTGTTTTTTTTTTCCCAATGAAGATTGGCAAATTGCCATGAAAGTATCATTTTTTCAGCATAGGCTACACTGTATTAGAAGACTTGTACTATGAAGTTAGAATGGTTTTGAGTGACTATCTAAAAATAATAATTCCAGTTTCTTTTGTAATAAACAAAGCAATTCCAATGAAGGCATCCATGATCCTAAAAAACAACAACAAAGACTTCCACTTTGAAGCGACCCAAGTTATAGTTAAACTTAGACAGTAACCAGCAATAATAGCATATTAGCAAGTTCTTCTATCGAAAAAATGATTGTGAATCTTGCTTTGAAATAATTGATCAGTAATAGAAAATAATCATATTTTGTTGTGCCATAAGTGATATAAAGAGATCAAGAAAGTAGTATTAACTTTTACATATGTATACCTTTTTATCTTGTTGGGGCTTCAAAACAAAGAATCCTCCTATTCTTTTCTTTTCTTTTCTTTTTTCTTTTTTTATTTTTTGTATCTGAAGCCTCGGCTAATCTTGAACATTGGCTGGAAGAGGTCAAACTGAGGTCTTCATGCCCGAAGACGTACCTTGGACAAAATTTGTCAGGAGGGTCTGGCCTTGCTTCCTCAAATAGCTAGTGTCGCTCAATCTCATACGGTGAATGAATCACCTTTGCTCAACCAATCTGCAANCAAAGCAAACAATGTTATTACCCTTTAGTGTTTTTTTTTTCCCAATGAAGATTGGCAAATTGCCATGAAAGTATCATTTTTTCAGCATAGGCTACACTGTATTAGAAGACTTGTACTATGAAGTTAGAATGGTTTTGAGTGACTATCTAAAAATAATAATTCCAGTTTCTTTTGTAATAAACAAAGCAATTCCAATGAAGGCATCCATGATCCTAAAAAACAACAACAAAGACTTCCACTTTGAAGCGACCCAAGTTATAGTTAAACTTAGACAGTAACCAGCAATAATAGCATATTAGCAAGTTCTTCTATCGAAAAAATGATTGTGAATCTTGCTTTGAAATAATTGATCAGTAATAGAAAATAATCATATTTTGTTGTGCCATAAGTGATATAAAGAGATCAAGAAAGTAGTATTAACTTTTACATATGTATACCTTTTTATCTTGTTGGGGCTTCAAAACAAAGAATCCTCCTATTCTTTTCTTTTCTTTTCTTTTTTCTTTTTTTATTTTTTGTATCTGAAGCCTCGGCTAATCTTGAACATTGGCTGGAAGAGGTCAAACTGAGGTCTTCATGCCCGAAGACGTACCTTGGACAAAATTTGTCAGGAGGGTCTGGCCTTACTTCCTCAAATAGCTAGTGTCGCTCAATCTCATACGGTGAATGAATCACCTTTGCTCAACCAATCTGCAAAATTCAAAATTAAGTTCCATATTCGCAACACAAATCATCAAAAATATCCAATGCCTCCCAAAAACATAAATGTCAATTTACCTTGATGGTTGCGTTTCACTTGCTCCTCTGATGGGTCGGTGAAGATATGGAGGAACCTATATGGCCAAAGCTCACGTACCGTGTATGCCTACAAACATGACGCTAAAAAACATGTGTTAGGGATATACGACATAAGTCACCAAAAAAAAATACACATTTCAAACTCCATTAAAATTAATGCTAAAGTTTGGGATAGAAAACAGAGAGAGAAAGAGAGAGAGAGAATTGTACCAGAACCAGAGCCTTGAAAGCCACGTGAAGATGAAAGCCTGAGGAAATGGGTATCAGCAAGTTAGAGATATAAAACAGAGCAAACCCACCAACCAAATCCTTTCAATGCCACCAAATAAACCAACGAAATCCCCAAAAAAAAACCCATTATATTGAAAGTGCATATGGTCAACAATCACCAATAAGCTTATGTCGTTAACATGTATTTAATTGCAGAGTGCTAGAACTGTTAATGCCAATGTCTTCCAAAGCAAAAATTGACAACATACATTTTCAAAAAATAAACAGTACGATGTAATTTTGTGACCCATTTCAATAGCATTAGTTAATAATTTGTAACTGCAGCAGAGGTCTGAAAAAGAAACTAACCACGATAATAAAATTTCTGATTGTTCAACCAATCCTTAAAAATAAAGGTTAGCACAAAACCCCATATTTCCAAGGTCCTCTGAATAGTTGAATAGGTTTTGAATCTATTCCAACGTCCCCCAGGTGCAACAGAGACTTGTACAAACAATATATTGTTAGTGTTCAGAAAAATATTACATAAGAGAACCCCTAATTTATGATCAAACACCCATCTAATTTATACACTCTGTTTGGGAAATTTTGTTGAACAATTTATAGGTCATCGTTGATAATGCTATTTATCAAAAGGTTTACAAATCCAACATGAAAATACTGATTCATTTATGCACACAAAAGCACTCAAATAGATATGTATGGCGAGAGAGAGAGAGAGAGAGAGAGAAGAATTACCTAATCGGAGAAAGAGATGCCGAAGATACAAACAGAGATCAATCTGAATTGGAGGTCGGAGGAGTTAAGCGACTATGTGAGAGAGAGAGAGGCCAATGGGGGTTGAGTTTATCAGCTACCCATAACTAACTAAAAAGTGAAAAAATTCAGCCGGAACAGCTGCTGGAGGAACTCGAAATAAAAAAGTGAAAAAATTCAGTGAAAAAGACAGTGAAAGCAAAAGAACAATGGAAGCAGAGAAAGAGGCAATCTCAAAATATTAGAAATAAACTTACCGTGCACCAAGGACTGAGAAGAGAAGAGAAAAGTGTCGACGGAGATAAGCTAGAACAACCGCAACAGTTGCTGGAGGAACTCGAAATATTTCAACGTGATTGAGCAAATTCGAAATGAGATATCTTACCGTGAACTTAGGCCCTTTGATAGTGAACCCCTGTGTGTGCGATTGAGCAGAGAAAGTAGAGAGATTTGTGGCTTTGGACAGCGGCACAAAAGAGGGAGGTGTTTGTGAGAGAGAGAGAGAGAGAGGAGGTGTTTGCACAAAAGAGGGATGGGGGGAGGGTGTTTGCGCAGAGGTAAGTGACTCGCCGCCTGACTTGCCGCCTATGTGTTGCCATGGCGTGGTTGCTTGTTCGGGGATTTGGGGATGTGACCGTCTGAGAGAGAAGAGAGATGTGGATTTCTTTTTGGTAGGGAGCCATTTTGATAGGTGGGTTAGGTTGGATGGGTTCGATTGGGTTAGGTTAGATGGGTTCGATTGGGTTAATTTGGGGGGGAAAATATATTGGCGATAAAATTTAAGTTCCATCCTGTTTTATTATATAAATATATGCATAAGTGTGTGGGGGGTTTAAAGTGAGTTTTAGAGAAAGGGGGAGTCAGGGAAGGAGAGTGAAGGAAGATAAAGAAAAGTTAGGTTGGAAGGGAAGGTAACTCGGTGGAGGAATTTCACTATTTCGGTTCAGAATTGGTGCGGAAGAACCAATTTTCTTCTTTCCTTTGATTTCATAAAGGCTTTGTTGAAGAATCGTAAGATGGTGACTCCTTTTGGTAAGGGAATTTCCTAAAATCTATGAATTTCATTATTTGAAAATGTGAGAAAAGAATTTGGGTTTTGGGTTGTGAATTTTGGATGTGAGAGATGGTTTTAGTTTTGAATGATGAATTTGATATGAGTATATTATTAGTTTTAGATTTCCATGGGAAAATATGTTTATTATTGGTGATATATATCTTAGAAGTTGTGGGGTTGAAAGGAAAAGATTTTTTTTTTTGGGAGGGGGGGGGAATATGGGTTGAATAAGGGTTTCCGTCAGACTTCTACCGATAAGAAGTGGTGTTCTACTGATAGAACGACACTTTGTAAGATGTTCTGCTGGTAGAACGATGTTCTGTGAAGATTTTTACCAGAAAGAGGTAATGTTCTACCAGGAGAATGACCTCTATGAGGATCTACTAGTAGGAAGTGATGTTTTATTAGTAGAACGACATTTTAAAAGGAATTTTATCAGTAAAAACATGGAATTTTCATCGTTTCATCATAATGACTGTAACTCATTATCCATTCAATCTGAAACCTTTTATAAACACATTTTATAGGTTTAAATCAATTGTAATTGATCTTATTTACCTACAAACATATCATTAAACCTAAGGGTTGAGAACATATAATAGATGGAAGGGGATACTGTGAAAATATCAGGTTAAGCTCAATTAATCACTTGTGCATGTGTGGCATAATATCATTTGTTGTAAATGATAATTATGTAATTTGTGGAGATGTATGTTAGGTATGGAGATGATGACGTCAACATCAAATTCAACTAAAACTATACAAAGGGATTGAATTTGGGTTTGGAATTGAACCCGATGTGAGTGTATTGATTCATATTGATTGGAAATGTGTATCAATATTATTAGCTATATTTGTGTGATTATAGCTAAATTGTGAGTTGATGAACTTTATGTTGTGTGTTGGTGTTTGGTTATGGGTTAAATATATGAATTGAATGTTTATGTGATCACCACTGCTGAGACTATTGACCATTTACAGTAGCGTCATATTAGCTGAGACTATCGGACATAGATGGTAGCGATAAATTTGCTGAGACTACCAGACATAAACAGCAACATTGTGATTGTCGTGACACTCGGGCAAAAATGGGTAGCGTTATTTATTATTGGTTGATCAAATAGTGATATTAAATCCTATTGCGTGGATTGTGTTATTACAATGCTACACTTGGGCATTTTTTCTGTATATTTTAAATATATTCACTGAGCATGTGATTTTGATCACCCCTTCATAGTTTCTTATTTTTCAAGAACATGGAAAGTAAAAAGTGGTCAACTAGGCAGTCTAGCTTGACATAGGGAAGTTGGTGTTGGAATGTACATTATGTCATGTAACATAATTATATACATAGTTTTTTGTTGGTTGTAAGGATGTTTAAGGTGTGGTGCCCAATCACGTTATAACACTTATATGAATGTCTTATTTCCATATTTTAGTAATGGCTTGGAAAATTATTGTACAAGTTAATTACTCTGATCTATTATGGATTAAAGGATAATTAGATTTAGAATTATCCACACTCTCTCTCTTTCGGGATGGGGTGTGACACAGACCATGAACCAAAAACTCAGTACCTGTGAACCAGAAGCACCTCTGCTTCCGCAAGAAAACCCTTGTAATTCTGTCTAACTATTTACTCTATGTGCAACTCTAAGGTGATTCAATAGTTCATAATTTGTTTGGAAGTTTATGGTGTGCAAAATTAGGGCCTTTTGGTGTGGTATTTTAGGTTTGAAGTTGGCAGTGTAATGATGGCCTTGGTGTTTGGCAATGAGTTGTGTAATGGTGGGGTCGATTCAAGCCATGGGTATATGATGTGTTGTAAAATTTCAGTTCAAGAATGCTAAAAATCAGATAATAAACAAGGCAAGAAAACTTATCGATAGAAACGTGTAGTCACTGTCCTTAAGAATAGATTTTCGCCCGCCCCTCTAAGTATGAAACCCGGTGTAACAGGTTATAGCGTTCTATCTTCCAGAATTCAACTATCGCTTCTCTACAAGCGTGCACTCACAAATGTAGATGTGTCTCGAACAATTTTTAATTGTTCCCAAATCGGATGACAAAGTAATAAAACAATATACTTCAATTGGATTGCAGAAAAGTTTCGATATAAACTGTTGAAAAGGTTCACAAAGCCCACTGTTCTAAAACTCACAGAATGTCCATCTGATTTTTCTTTTTTGTGTGTGTTTTATAAATATATATATATATATATATATATATATATCTTTTTAACCACTCAGCCTCAGTGCCAACCTTCTCTAAGGCAATAAACTCGGACTCCATAGTTGACCGAGTTGTACACGTCTGCTTGGAAGATTTCCAAGACACTGCACCCCCACCAAGGGTGAACACATAACCACTTGTGAATTTCGTCTCGTCTGAATCAGAGATCCAATTAGCGTCACTATACCCTTCTAGTATAGCAGGAAATCCACTATATAATAAACCATAATTAGCAGTTCCTTTCAAGTANTTCCTTACTCTTTTACTCCTTCTTGGTTCAAGTACTTCTTTCCTAGAGGTATCATATTTGGGTTCATCACTAACATGAATTAATTTACTCTCATTTGATACCTTATTTTTTATAGGAAAAATATTCTCAAAGAAAATAGCATTTTTTGCCTCAATGATTGTGTTAGGTTGTAATATGTTATGCTCACTTCTTATCACTGGAAGCNCTCAATTAATCACTTGTGCATGTGTGGCATAATATCATTTGTTGTAAATGATAATTATGTAATTTGTGGAGATGTATGTTAGGTATGGAGATGACGACGTCAACGTCAAATTCAACTAAAACTATACAAAGGGATTGAATTTGGGTTTGGAATTGAACCCGATGTGAGTGTATTGATCCATATTGATTGGAAATGTGTATCAATATTATTAGCTATATTTGTGTGATTATAGCTAAATTGTGAGTTGATGAACTTTATGTTGTGTGTTGGTGTTTGGTTATGGGTTAAATATATGAATTGAATGTTTATGTGATCACCACTGCTGAGACTATTGACCATTTACAGTAGCGTCATATTAGCTGAGACTATCGGACATAGATGGTAGCGATAAATTTGCTGAGACTACCAGACATAAACAGCAACATTGTGATTGTCGTGACACTCGGGCAAAAATGGGTAGCGTTATTTATTATTGGTTGATCAAATAGTGATATTAAATCCTATTGCGTGGATTGTGTTATTACAATGCTACACTTGGGCATTTTTTCTGTATATTTTAAATATATTCACTGAGCATGTGATTTTGATCACCCCTTCATAGTTTCTTATTTTTCAAGAACATGGAAAGTAAAAAGTGGTCAACTAGGCAGTCTAGCTTGACATAGGGAAGTTGGTGTTGGAATGTACATTATGTCATGTAACATAATTATATACATAGTTTTTTGTTGGTTGTAAGGATGTTTAAGGTGTGGTGCCCAATCACGTTATAACACTTATATGAATGTCTTATTTCCATATTTTAGTAATGGCTTGGAAAATTATTGTACAAGTTAATTACTCTGATCTATTATGGATTAAAGGATAATTAGATTTAGAATTATCCACACTCTCTCTCTTTCGGGATGGGGTGTGACACAGACCATGAACCAAAAACTCAGTACCTGTGAACCAGAAGCACCTCTGCTTCCGCAAGAAAACCCTTGTAATTCTGTCTAACTATTTACTCTATGTGCAACTCTAAGGTGATTCAATAGTTCATAATTTGTTTGGAAGTTTATGGTGTGCAAAATTAGGGCCTTTTGGTGTGGTATTTTAGGTTTGAAGTTGGCAGTGTAATGATGGCCTTGGTGTTTGGCAATGAGTTGTGTAATGGTGGGGTCGATTCAAGCCATGGGTATATGATGTGTTGTAAAATTTCAGTTCAAGAATGCTAAAAATCAGATAATAAACAAGGCAAGAAAACTTATCGATAGAAACGTGTAGTCACTGTCCTTAAGAATAGATTTTCGCCCGCCCCTCTAAGTATGAAACCCGGTGTAACAGGTTATAGCGTTCTATCTTCCAGAATTCAACTATCGCTTCTCTACAAGCGTGCACTCACAAATGTAGATGTGTCTCGAACAATTTTTAATTGTTCCCAAATCGGATGACAAAGTAATAAAACAGTATACTTCAATTGGATTGCAGAAAAGTTTCGATATAAACTGTTGAAAAGGTTCACAAAGCCCACTGTTCTAAAACTCACAGAATGTCCATCTGATTTTTCTTTTTTGTGTGTGTTTTATAAATATATATATATATATATATATATATATATCTTTTTAACCACTCAACATCAGTGCCAACCTTCTCTAAGGCAATAAACTCGGACTCCATAGTTGACCGAGCTGTACACGTCTGCTTAGAAGATTTTCAAGACACTGCACCCCCACCAAGGGTGAACACATAACCACTTGTGGATTTCGTCTCGTCTGAAATCAGAGATCCAATTAGCGTCACTATACCCTTCTAGTATAGCAGGAAATCCACTATATAATAAACCATAATTAGCAGTCCCTTTCAAGTATTTCAACAATCT